ATAGAAGACAGGTTTTAGTTTCACCTGCAACACGACAAAAGACTTTCAGTGAGGAGATGTTGGCAGTGACGGTGCAGAATGTTGTTTTATTAGTATTTTCCATTCTTTCTTCAATAAGGACAATATGAAGTCAGATGTGGATAAATTACAATCTTTGTTGTGATTGGAGTGAAACAAGTTCACACTGAGAACACATGAAGCTGGACCAGACATCCAGATACTTTAGTCAATGATCTGTCTCTTGCTAAATTCTCTCCGTAGTCTTTCATTTTGTGCTCATGCCAGGTGGAAACTATGCTCTGTGACACATCATCATGTATCACTGGGTAGAATTCCTGTGGATGTTTAATTAAATTGAGTCAAACATCTTGTTCTCTGTTCTGACTCATTCTTCTGAACTCTTGGGATCAGCTCAGTTTGAACTAGTTTATAACTTGGACCTTTATCAACTAAATATCACTTACTTATCTTAGCTTTCTTGCACCAGCCTGGTGTGTTTTTTTTCCACTGGAATCAGGTATTGAATATTGATTATCCCTGTCTTTTTATTTTGTGTCTATAGAGGGAAGTATCTCTCAGTCTGTCGTCTCTCTGAATGTGAAAGGGCAGAGTCAGTGCTGTGAGGTGTGAAGAAAAGCCAGTGGAGTGCAACAGCCCATCGTGACTTCAGTCACAATTCACATTGTTTGTCTGGCTGATGCTCAGTAACACTTTCATATATACAGCACCATTCACTCCTCCTTTATTTTCTGTCACTTTTTAAAACATCCAGAAGATTTAATATTAGTCTGTTTCTATTGTGTCTATGAGAGAAGCACACAAGGCAAGATGGTGTGAGACAATACAGATAATACATGAGAATAAGGAAAACCAGGCCATGAAGTGATGAAGTACTGGTGGTGAAGCAGCTGCAGTAGTTTTTTCTTTTTCTTAGTCCAATCAAAGTAGTGGTTTATCAGAGGGAATGCTCCTGTTGTTTTGTACGTGAGGACAGTGGAAACCACCAGACTGATCTGTATGTATCTAGGCTGAGGTGCTCGAATAGCGCAGTTCACAAAGCTTGAGCAACAAAACCCTTTAGACTATCAGGTTCCTGATGGACAGGTGACCTCTCATGACAGTATTACAGCAGCTCGATCTGTTCTTGACAACTTCCAGGTCCTTGTCCTGATTGTTGCCGTCAACAGAAGAAAGTTCAGATACAGCAAGAGTTTGCTGTAATATATCATTATGGTATTATAACCAGCATCGCCAACAGCCGTTTTGGGTGATTTTTGATTGTCCCAAATGCAGCAAAGATGCTTCTGCTTCTTTTTCTTCTATTCTTTCAACATCCTGCAACTGGTCCTACAGTCAGAACTATTTTTATATGAACTAGTTTTCACACTGAAAACAAACTGAAGCATGGTTCAGTTTGATGTGGACCTAGACTTCCTCTTTAGATCGGACTTCATGTTGGACCATGGTCCAAGACGCCTTTCACATCAGTTATCATGATTTGGTCTAAACTGAGAAGTCTGAAGGTCCAGATCAGACAAGGTGGGGGTAACGCCCTTAAATCCTTGCAAGTAGGTGCCAATATTTGATATCCAACTTTTAACTGTCATTAGTTGTAAAAGCCACAAAATTACAGAAACCTGGCAAAACAAATTGTAAAAGACAAGAAGTATTTCATGACTGTTTATTTTCTTTTTGAGGCCCGCAAAAACATTTTCATACTTAACTGACTTCAAAACCCTGTTGGGAGCAGGTACCCGAAAACAACTTGTCCTCTTTTGTGGGTCTTTCTACTTTGTTCTGTCCTTTAATGCTGTCATTATGTTAATGTCTTAACCTAAAAGAACAGCAATGTTACCCCATCCAACACACACACACACACACACACACACACACACACACACACACACACACACA